AAACAGAAACATTTCTCTTTTAAGAAAGTTGATGTCTAGTGAATCAATATCAGACAATTCGAAAATCATCAATTAAACAAAACACTGGGCAAAGAAAAATCCTCTCAACTATGAATCTTTAAAATTTGAATTCTTGGTATAATATTCTATGTTTGTTGTCTTCAGCCTAGTGTTTTACATGCTGTAACTTTGGGGCAAATAAAATATATCTCAGCTTAAATTTACCTTGTTGTATTTCTGAGTGAAAACTGACCGAAGCGATTAATGGAATAGTTTCCTCTCTTCTGTTAACCAATAGTGACTACTTACATTTAATGGGTTTAGCTCTAAGGTATTTGTAAAGGAAACAAATCACATTTTCACCATTTCCAGTTTCGACGGTGCCGATTTAACGCTATTTTCTGTTGAAAAAAAGTCACCTTGGGCACTGGGAAATTAAAATGACTGCTTTCACTGTTTCATACAGTGAGTGTACTGGCTCAAAAGTCATTCTTTGTATATGCGTGTAATTCTTCCATGTGTTTAAGTGACACAAGTGCCTACGTATCATTCATAAGCACATGCGTATGTGCATCCTTGCATTTGTGTTTGAGTCTGCCTGTGTCTGTGCATGTGTGCAGTGAGTCTGATGTATCTTTTAGCTGCAGATAAATAAACAGTGGAGACAAACATACGCTGCATCAGTTTAATGACCCATCCCTGTAGAGTCCCTCTACATTCAATTAGCAGGAAGATAATTAATCGGGCCAAGTCTCTGGCTGCTGAGCTGGCTGGCGGACTGGCAGCAGGAAGCCAGGTGGTCTTACAGGAATGAGTGAGTGTGCATATGCACGTTTTGTGTGCGTATCTGTATATGTTACGTTACATAAAAGGATTAAAAACGAAGATAGATTCAGTGAATCTTCATCTTCTCATCTCATTCTCTCGCTTTTCCCTTTTGCTTTCTATCTACTGACACAACTGAATAAGAAAGAAATATAACAAAATGCAAAATAAAATGGCTCCAAACGCATCCACACCACATCGCGCTATATTTTAAATTTCCTTCATGCATGTTTTAATACAATAACATGCATATTTGCTGTTCATTTTATACCTTACTCTTTCACTGTTTATAATTTTGACTCTCTCTCCCCCACATACACACACAGTGCTGTGATCAGTAAGCCCCTGGTGGCCATATGTAGTCATTACACAAACATAAGTGCACTCAGGGAGCGTGCGGCTCTCCATCAATCTTCTCCTGACTGAAGGACAAGTCTGAGGTAAACACACCGCAGGGATTTCTGCTTTGGCATCAAACACCTGTATTCTCTTTCGATGAAACAGAGTAACAGTATGTTAAAGCCAATATTAGCTTCTTGGGCAATTGTTTGCATCTTGAGGAAGCAGAAAGTGAATCTTGAGAGGGAAAACTGCTTCTAATCATTCAAAAATAATTAATAGGGAAATTAATAAATGAAAAAGGCAATAAATCCTTGATAAACTGAATTAAATATTATTATTACTTATTTGATAGTAAAGATTGGGTCATAAAGCAGTAGTGAAATTATCCCTCCAACTGTTATATTCTCCACATAAGGTGTGTGAAGTTTACTACAAGAGTGCACGTTTTTTCTTGAGCCATCAATCATGTAGAAGTGGATTAAATGTACTTTTCCATGATTGATGAATCTGTGTGGCATGGATTGTAATGCCAACGCCAACTGTGTATAATTTACAACAAAACCATCACGTAAATGTTACCACTTCCCCTATAGTATATGTCTTTACAGTACTTAATGTATGATTTCATAACAACATTGTCCAGTGTGGTCCTTCAACAGAGGCGTTAAGCATTAACTGAATTGTATCACTTAGCAGCTGTTTATAGATGCCACCTCTTAGACACTCCTTGGAAAAACCATCTTTTTCTTTCTTATGCTTATGCTCTTCTTCCTTTCACCTCTTTTCTCTCCCAGCTTGTTATGCAGATTCCCAGATTTGCCTCCTTCAACATTCACACATGTGCACACACACACAAACATACACACACACATGTGAATACACACAGATCTGTATGTACCTCCCCAGGGGCACCGGGGAAGGGCAGAGCGAAGATGGAAATGAATTCAGCCATGTTGCAAGTGGCAACGCAAATCTGCATCTGTAATTACCCCCAGAAATACACAGGGAGCTTTCTTTCTCTCTCCTCCTCGTGCCTTCTGCCCTCCCTCTCCTTCTCTTCTCTCTTCCCGATCTCCTCCTTCTCACCAAGACTCCATCTCTTTCCTTTTTCTGTCTATATCTCTGAACTCCCCTCTCCTCCTCCTCCATGTCTATCTCACACTCTCTCTCTGTCTCAAAGGCTTCTTAAGTGATGCTTGGTGGGCCAATTAAGGTGAGTAGAAGTAGGGCCTGCATGTGTGTGTGTGTGTGTGTGTGTGTTCATGCATGCATGAGTATATTTATTCATTCACCAAACACCTTGTGCAGTCTCACTTATGTCCACACTGTCTGTGTTTGTGTCTGTCTTTCCACATGTGTGCATGGACTATGTGTGCGCACACGTGTGAGTGTGTGTTTACGTATGGTGTCATCTCTTTGTGTCTGGGTCAGGGCATATTCATGTGTTTATAAATGTCCCCTCAGGCCAAACATGGCTAAGCTGTCTCTTGAAACAGGACATTGTTCCAAATAATACTCCCTCATATCTGCAATTCAGTACATTCGCCCACAACCAATGCCCCAAAACAGACAATGACATTTTATATATACACTCGGTAACATCATCAATAACGTGCAGCTAAATGAAAAAGCGTCTGAACCATGTCCCCCAGCAATCATGAGGTGTCAAAGCAAGATACATACATAAATATTTATTTTACTCTTATCAAAAAAATTGATGAAATTTCCCGTTAATGGAACCATTCTTTACCTCGAATACATGACGACCGTGTAAAAAAGTGCAAATGTCAAACCTTCTGCCAAGAGAAACGTCATACATTAACAGATCTAAAAAATAAAACAAAGAAAAATAAAGCAAGAAAAGGAAAAAGAGAGAAAAAGATGACATACAAGTATTAAAATACATTCATTTCTTTTAGATCATGTAGCTCTTGTAATCCTAAACATAAACACTATGAAAGAAAGGAACCTAAAAGCACATGCCTTATAACAAGCTGGCTTCAGGTAATTAACAGAGTATTCACAATGGTCAGGGAACAGGTTTCTATGGTTAGAACGAGGTGCCACATTTAGCATTATTATATGATATTTGGTATTATTTAGTAAATACCTGGGCTTGCAATGAGGATTTTTAACAACTGGAAATACACCAGGTTTTATTTAGTCTTACTAGTAGCCTCAACGTGCTGCAGAAAAAGTGATGATGAGCTGAGAATACGTCAAGGCCATCTGAAAGAAAAGGGGTGGAAGAGAGAAAAGGTGAAGGTTGGAGGTTATTCAGTAGAGAGAATGAAGGATAGAAGGATAGACAAGTGGAGGAGAGAGGCACACCCTGCGTTTAAGTGGCAGGGCTCTGCTGCAAAGGAGCCAATTAGGAGGGAGGTAAGACAAGTATAGCTAAGTATACAAAACCTACAGTGGCTGGGCAAATGTGTGGAAGTTTATGTGTGTGGCCATGTCTATAAAGAAGGAAGGGGGTGCTCACAAACTGATCAGAATATTATGTGCTTTAACCACACGTTATATACTATCAAAGTTTACTGTACTTTATACCATCACTCAACATATCTCATCTATACTGGTTGAATGGGTTTTTCTAAAGTGGACTTGTTACTGTTATTCCTCAATAATTAGGTGTCTTGTCTCTATTTAACACTTGGGTTTGGCACTCTTTTCTTTCTTCCAGTCTATCAGATTATTTTACTTTAAGCTCTTAATGAATATTTAATCTTGCTGCAATTAGTGTATTGAATGCTGGAGATTGATGGAGACCACTTCAGACGGACGTACACGTACATATAGACAGAGACACAGAACAGCGACTATGCAATGCAATCTTGTTTGTTTGGGATGAAAATATATTGTAAGTCCTTTGTTAACAGGTATATTATTGGAAACCTAATGGACAACAAAAGGTTTATGTCAAATCCTATTTGAAAGGCATAAATGTGCTTGACTTTAAAAGTATTTGAATTAACAAAAGAGCAATCATTCAATCAAAACACAGATATCATTTGAATTACATCTAAATCCAGAGCGAGCGGTCGTCGGGTCTACGGACAGTCAGCAGTGAGTGTGTGTGCACTTTGCACAGAAACATTAGTGCAAATGAGCCTGTGTGTTACTGAGTATGTGTATGTGCTCATTGCTGAGGTTGTGTGGCATGAAAAAAAAAGAAACTCTGAATAATGCATGAGTCTTTTGGTCAATGCATTGTGATTTGCTTTAAGGAGGCCTTCTCTCAGCCATTATAAGATTAAACCCAACCTTGGTTTGTTTAGAGTGGCCAGGACATGCAAGAGACCTGTCAACACTGCAGCGACTAGGATCACACACACGTAAACACACACAGACAAACACATAGTAGACAAAACAGCCCTATGTATCAGCACACCTATACAACCACAAAGCAACAACAAATAGGAGGATAAGATTGTGAATGTCTCAGATACAGTAACCTATAAACCTAGGTGGTACATGGCTAGTATAGCCTTAATAAAGTGAAGGATACTAAGGATAAGAGGATAACAGAGATGAGAAGAGAAAAGAAAAGAAAAGAAAAGAAAAGAAGAAAGGATGAGTGCAGGCAAGGAGGCAAGCTGTCAGTTCTCGAGGGAATGAAGGAAAATTGTAGACCCTTTCTGTTTCGATTGCTGTTCGGCCAATACACCTGCTGTGAGACACGCTTCAATCATTCTTTATTGAGCTCTCAGTCTCTCTCATGCTTTCTCTCTCTCTATATGTCACTCGTTCTCCGGCCTCAATCAGTTCTGTTGTTGCTCACAATCAATAATCAATTTCCTTGAGAAATAATGGGCTGCTGCTGTTTTCGGGCTTGGCCGTAGTCCTTCAGCGGTATGATAGGCTAATGACAAATCCAAGGAGGCCAGGATGAAGGACTGGTCTTGGCCAATTAAGAACCATGACCCTGGAACATGAAAAAAAGAAGAAAAAAAAGACAGAGAATGAAGTTTGTGGTGCGGGGGTTTTGCAATGACTTCCTCCGTTTGTAGAGTTGTACAATGTCATGTGCAATGTTTCAACCACCTCGCTTGAAAGGATAATGAATTGCGAATATATGACTATTAATTATTTCACCACAACAGCCAGAAAATATTAGCGTCTAATTTGCCATTCAATTATGCTACAGGTACATATAAATTCAGCTACAATATAGACTGTGAATTATATAAACAACACAAAAGCATGAGTTCAAATTTAAGCCAAAATTGCACATTCAAACACTCAGAAACACACAGACACACAAAGAAAAACACTTTTTTCTTCACCAAACAGAAAAACAGTTTAGGAAGTGACAAAGAATGTGCAGAGCAGCATTCTGTGCGCAACAAAAGGTAATGAGAGCAGCGGAGGAGAGTAGAGTGTGAAAGAAAAACAGGGAGAAGGAAAAGCACATACAGTTTAGCAGGACATTTAAAACTCCTTCCCCCTTGTTCTCCGTTTGTTGGCATGTTACATGAAAATGCCATCCCAAAGGACCTCCTCTGCATGAAATGAAAGAAGAAAATGGAACACATGAGGAGGAGAAATAGGAAAGAGGGAAAGGTGGGAGAGTGGTAACTGAGATGGAAAAACATGTAGTTAGACCAAAGAACAAAAGGAAACTTTTTAAGAGTTTCTGGATGAATTACAGACACATTTACATCCTAACATGTTATCATATAGTCTGAAAAGTTATCTTAGAAAATTGTGAAGCATGTTGCCATTTTTTATGTTTGTTTTTTCAATTTTTCACTTGCAGAGCTACTTTATTATTCCACTTTTGTCTGCTCAGGTGTTCCCAGTGCATATTTCATTTAACAACAATATAAAGTAGATGATTATGTATTCATATAAAAACGAATAAATAATCGGTAAGCTGAAATCTTTGCAATTGTATGCGAAACATGTTATTTTAGCTGAAAACCAAAAACAATTTTAAAACAACAGCGTCACAGCTTTTATGCTTTCCCAAAAGCCACTTACAATAATTTAACTATATGAAAATTGACTGTTGGATCATCAAATTAAAGTTTCAAATCTATATAATTTTTATTTTTGATGGATGCTTTTGTTAAGAAATGATACGTGGTTTAATATTTGAATAAAAGTGTATTGAGAGAGTGCATAAGAAGTAACCAGAGCTGCACCAAAATTTATTGAATTCTTCCTTTAACGATGCCCAACCAGTCCAGAATGTTTCATGAATGTTAGTTTGGTATTTTTTGGTTGACCTTGCAAACAGTCAGACAGCATGGAAAACACAAGTCTGCCTCTGGTATCATGGTGGAGGCATAAAAGCTCAGTTTGCAATTATTTATGACAGAAAAAGAGAATCCAATTTTTTTTAAAACAGAAAAAAAAAAGTACAAATACATTATTTTTTGTTAAAAAAATGACCCAAATGTTTAACTAATTATCAAAATAGTTTACGATTAATCTTTCATCTGCCTTCCTCTTCAGCAATGTTAACCGCATCCTATCAGAGAAAGTTAAATATTCACGATACAAGCCAAGCTACTCAGTGTTCAAACAAAGTGCTCTGCCAAGTTCACCCATGTATGTTGAGGTGCAGTGACGGGAGAAAGTGTGGCAGCGAGAGAGAGAGTTAGACAGCGAGAGGGAGAGGGAGAGACTTAGAGGAAAACCGGGAGACGACAAGGAGAGCGAGGGAGAGTATTTTATTATTCACACAAGGCATAATAAACCAGGCACGCTCGGTTAGCAACACTTAAACTCCCTGTGCTGCAGCGGTTAGCCACTAATGCGACAGCAGTAATTTGGACATGTCCTATTAATAGTGCAGGGGAGGTTTCCATGCATGCTAATGGCGGTGTGTATTAGCTATTAATAGAATCACATAGGGGGTCCAGGGAGAACATTTCTTTACTGTGTGTGTGTGTGCAATGTATTTACGTCACGTAGTTAACGGTGATACAAAGTCAGTGTTTGCGAGTCAATTAGGAGGGAGGGACTGCTGAGCAGAGAGAGTGAGACCATGGATAGCGCATGGAGAGATTTTTGGACTAAAGTATGACTGTGCTTGTGCAGATATGTGTGTATTTGTTAGTTTGTACGTGCTGTTCCAGCCTATGTAAATCTCCAGAGGTTGTAAACAGAGTGTGTATGAGACAGCAGGAAAAGAGTGGAAGGTGAGGGAAAACAGGGAGGAGTGCTAAGAACAGAAAGCGGATAGTCTGGTTTCAAAGCCAGTGTGTTGCAGCTGGAAGTTTGGAAGTGCCGAGCACTCCTCCTCAGCATGGATATTTAATGACCTGGGACCCTGACAAGGCCCTAAGATTCTTCCTTCTCCCCAGCTCTCCACCCAACATCCTTCTGGTTCTCCACCCACTACATTGGGAAGGTGAGAGAAAGCTTCCCTTCTTTGCTCAGAGTCAAGGTATATGGCAAGAGCTTGGAAGCATCAAGGAGAATATTAGAGGAGAAAGCCAAACCGCGCGTCAAAATCAAGATGGAAGGATTTCATGTATAAAACACTTTCTTTTTATCGTTCTGTGAATAAAAAATTGGGCTCTGCTTGTACCTTATCTGATCAATTAAAGTATCAAGTATGAGCTTGCCTTGCTCTTGCCTCCATACTCTATGGTCACCCTGATTTGAGCAGATGAAATCCACAAGAAAATGTGAGCATAATGTCGAAATAAAAAAACAAAAAAAGCTCTGCAATCTGCTGAATCCACATGTACATATGTTACTGTAATGTTTACTGCAATAATGATGCCAATATGAAATTTTCCAAGGCAAAAATGTAAAATGAATTTCTGGGAAAAGAGAAAATACCCTTTATCACAGCACTTGTAATACTCATACAGCATGAACAGTGTAAACAAGGTTACTCAATCTAAGCCCAAGAAGAAATGCAAAACTGCTTAATTGAAAAAAGGGATGTAATTTCTTCAGGTGTGAAAAAATCTTCCAGCATTACACAGGAAACTGAACTCTGGGTACAACTTTTAATTAAAAGTCATTTCAACAGGCAACTGTCATCTATATATAATCTGTATAATCTGACGATTGTCTTCTATAGTTTTCACATTACTGTACAACTTCATTTGCGTCACAATAAAACACCCAGCAATGTCTCAAAAACAACACAACCATATTAAAAAAATTACATTGGCATTGGACTGGCATTGGTTTTTCAAAAGGGCACATCGGTTAGGCATTAATAAATAACCTTGCAGAAGTGAATTTGCAATAATTTTCCCTTTCCTTCTTTCTCAGAAGATAAAATAATTTTGCCAACATCCTTTTTCTTGAGATGAACCTGTACATAATGTGGTGATATCAATATCGTTACAAAAAGCCTTGTGGCAGTGACACAGGGAACGAGGTGAGCATGCGTGTATTTGTGTGCGTGTGTGCAAGTGTGAGTGCATGCACTGGGCAGGCGGGTGTTGACAGAGGTGACTGTTTTCGCTCTCCATATTTTTACACAACCATATCACTCCCACATTAAAAACAGACACGTGCATTTGCAACATACAAACACGCAGGATGGTGCTCCTTCTCTCCCTTAATTTTATATGTGGGTTCTGAAATCACTGCAACTATGACCAACCAAATACACACTTACCCAACAAGGCCATATTCTGTGTGTGTGCATGTGTGTGCACATGTGTCGGTAAAGACATCCATGCATGCACGTGTATGCTTCATGCTGCTGAACGGGTATTGTTTTTCCCCCCCTTCATCTGATCGTGCAATTTGGCAGCAAGCTAAGGGATGAGAATCCGGATCTAATGAGTCGGCAGGCCAACAGGAATGAGGAGTGTATCGGCGCAGTAATGTGAGAAGATGGGCCCATGTCGCCTTGAGGGATTAGGATTCTGAGCTATAGGAGATAGAGGACCCCAGCAAGGCCACATCCTTCCACCTCTTCCCTCCTCCCGCTTCATACCTTTCCTTCTCTCTCCTAAATAATTCCCCCTGCTGGATGTATGGGCTCTCGCCTGCAGCCCGACACACCCGCCCTGGGAGTAATTGATTTCCTCAGAGCTTCCTGTTGAGGCAGTGGTGTTGATGGTGATGGAAACACTGGAAGAAGCTCTTACTTCACGTATATGTTCAGCTCACACATACATGGGTCATGATGCATGAAAGAACTGCACAAGGATTGTGGCATTATGAGCTAGCACCTGAAAACCAAAACCTACAGTCACTGTCTTCGTAGGTGGGAAACTGTGAGGGGAACACAAAGGACTTACTAGCCAGCTATATGTTCAAGGAACTATACGTGCACAGACTGGTTACTAAAACTCACTAAAGAAAAGCATTTGGAAATCATTTGCGTTATTTGTACAGGTGTGGAGACAGGTTTATCTGATTTTGCTGCCTCCACCCAAAAACTGGAGAAGCAATGAACATTTGTCAAGAAATATTTCTCACCAATATCATTATTATTAAAAAAAAATATCCACAAAGCACACTATTTACAATATTTCAAAAGTATAGAGTATCTGTTTTGCATATGTATATTTTATGTGCAAACGTAAGCCTATGTACTGTCATGTGCTTCCAAATAAGTGTGCACATATGACTGACGTTCGTCTGATCACGGCTCCTTCTCTCACACCTCTAAAGGACTCCTGGTGCTGTGGTGTGGGTGTAGGATGGGGGTGACATTGAGACTGCTAATGGCGTGGCTGTGCTCGCGGGGTGGTCGCGTCTCTGCAATGATATTCAAATATGCCCTGAAAATACAAACCCTTATGTCAGGGATCAAGGACTTGCCTGGTTTCAACACAATCACTTCACTCCGCACACTTCGCTCATAAATAAAGGAGCAGCGCTCTACTTTATATCACTGTGTTTTAATTATTAAGTTAGAACCATGGAGGTTATCACACTGTTCTCTGCCCGCAACTAGAGAGACGAGAAATTTGAATTTTTGCCGGCACAGTGCTT